AAAAAAAAAAAAAGATCAAACCAAGATAAACAAAATCAGAGATGAAAAGGGAAGCATTACAACAGACACCAAAGTATCCAGAACACCGTAAGGGACTACTTTAGAAACCTATACACTATTAAATTATAAAATCTAAAAGAAATGGATGAATTTCTAGATTCATTGGGGCCACCAAAGTTAAACCAAGAAGAGATTAACAACTTAAATAGACCCATAGCAAATAAGGGGTCTGAAACAGTAATACAAAGCCTCTTGACTTTAAAAAGCCCAGGTCCATATGGATTCATAGCAGAATTTTACCAGACCTTCAAAGAAGAGCTACAACCAATATAGCTTAAATTATTCAGAATGATAGAAATAGAGTGAGACTCCCAAACTCCTTCTACAAAGTCAGTATTTCTTTAATACCAAACCAGGTGAAGATACAACAACAAAAAAGAAAACAACAGGCCAATATCCTTAATGAACATAGATGCAAAAATTCTCAATAAAGTGCTTAAAAACCACACACAAGCACATATCAAAACAAATCACCCACCATGATCAAGTTGTATTTACTTCAGAGATGTGGGGATGGTTCAATGTATATAAGTCAATAAATGTAATAAATAACATAAATGAACTTACAGACCAAAAAAAAAATCACACAATCATCTCAATAGATACAGAAATATCCTTTGACAAGATCCAGCATGCCTTGATGATAAAGGTTCCAGAGGGAACTGGACTGGAGAGAACACACCTCAACATAATTAAGATTATATATGACAAAGCCATAGCCAACATCACTGTAAAATGGAGAAAAACTTGAAGCATTCCCATTTAAAACAGGAACAATACAAGGCTGTCCACTGTCTCCACTCCTTTTCAATATAATGCTTGAAACTCTTGCAAGAGCAGTAAGACAAGAGAAGGAAATTAAAGGAGCAATAATTGGTAAAGAAGAGATCAAATAATCCCCTTTTGCTGATGATATACCTAGGAAACGCCATAAGTTCCACCTGAAAACTCCTAGCAGCATTAAAGAAAGATGAAATCATGAAATATTCAGGTAAATGGATGGAACTAGAAACTAAGTGAAGTAACACAGACTCAGAAAAACAAATGGCATATGTTCTCCCTCCTTTGTGGATCTTGGCACCAAATCCTGATGTAACTGCAGGATCCAGGAAAATGGAAGGTAGACATGAAGGTAAAGGGAAAGAAGGAGCCTGAGAGAGAGGGATAGTAGGAGACATGTTACCAGTGCACAAAATGGGTAAAATAAAGGTATTTAACTTGGAGGGGAAGATGGAGGGCTATACAAGGAACCATAGGGATAAAGGAAAGAAAGAGCTCAAGAGAGTGGGGATCATAAGAGGCAGGAATTATCAAGGGGATAATACCTTTAACTGTGGAGGGAGGTGGGAGGGTTACATAAGACTAGAGAGAGGAGAAATAAATAATGCTTAGGTGGTATGAAAAACCAGAGGGAAATGTATTAGTTCAAAAGCCTTCTGAAAATACACATATAATATCTGTACATGAGTGCATGTGTATAGCTGAAGGCTGTATAACAAGAAACACAGTACCAGACAGGATAAATCTCCCTTTGAGTTGTTGGCCAAGGTAGTCCAAGAGACTCTCAAAATTACACAAGCTATTGCCACAGCCCTTGATTATCTCCTCAAACTTGAAGGTAAAATAATATAGCTGAAGATAAGACATACTTCAGACACAAGATTAGGAGCAATAGAGCTGGAAATAACCTGGACGTCTTCTTCCTGAAGACTAGCTCTCATAGTTCTAGAGGATACCATGAAAGCTGCTAAGGAAAAAAATCAA